TGGGGGGCACTGGGGGTGTCCCTCCCCTCTGTCCTTGCCCCCCACACCCTCCCCCCCCGTTTCTTTTTCCAGTGTTGTCGGTTTTCCTCTCTCTCCCTCCGCCTCCTCCCGGTTCCCTCTCCCTGGCAGCTTTTCCGAGCTCCTTTTTTACCACATTTGTGTGTTTTGTAGGGAAAGTGGCGCCTGCCCACTGGCAAATAAAGGATTTGGGAACCCAGGGGGGTCCCTGCCTTGGGGGACGAGGCTCTGCCTGTTTGTCACCAGCTGAGGGGTGCTGACTGCCCCTCAGAGCCCCCCAGGACACTCATCCCAGAGACAGGGATGTCCAGAGGAGGGATTTGGGATGAATCCCACTCTGCTGAGTCCCTGCCACGTCCCTCAGGAGGGGAAGGAGCTCTGGGATCTTGGGTTGAGATTGCTCACAGCTGGTTTCCCTGTGGTTTTGGGGGTGGTCTTAACTGGGGGCGAAGCTGTTGGGCTGGGAGAGGAGGGAGAGGATGGCTCTGCATTTCCCGGGGCTGTGCTGGAATCATCTGCCCTTTCCATCATCCCCTTCTCCCCTGGTGTTACCCCACTCACCCCAGCTTTATCCCATCATCCCCCCTGGTTTTATCCCATCATTCCCAGTCCCATCCCACCTTCCCTCCAGCCTCATCCCATGGTCAGCCCTGCTTTTATCCCTTTCCCTCTACCTTTTGTCACCATCCCCCTGGTTTTATTCCTCTCCCCCCCTGTTGTATCCCACCCCCTTCCCGGGTTTTCAGGCCCTGCCAGACTCTGCTGGGGGCCCTCGGGGACATTCCCAAGGAGGAGCCACTCCCTGTCCTGCTGCCAAGACTGTTCCTCCCATGATCCACATGAAGCCCCCTGGGGCTGAGTGTGAGCAGGGACACTGTGACAGTGGCACATGAGTCACCAGGAGCCCGAGGGCACCCGGCCTCGCCCTGCAGCTCCATCCCCCTTTTGGGGCTGTTTCCAGGGAAGTGTCACCGCTATTCCTCAGCTCCCGGGTTCCCAAATCCTTCCCTGTGCTGATGGACTGGGCCCTGTCCATGTTTTCCAGTCTCAGAGGGGGAAAAGTGCTGATCCTGCTGGATCCTGATGGACTGTGGGGCTTTGGGATGGACATCCTGGAAGCTGAGACTGGGTCAACTCACTGCATGGAATGCAGGGAGAGGGATTTGGGGGAAGGCTGGGGCTCCGGGAATGCTGGGATGCAGGAGGAGGGGGCTTTGGGTGCACTGGGATGTAAATGCAGGGGGATCAGGGAAGATCCTGCTTCTGGGAGGATCCCCCATCCCTGCTCACTGTGGGGACCCCAGGACCCCCAACCCCGAGCTCAGCCGGGTCCCAGAGCAACCAGGACCCCAGAGCCCCGGGGGGAGTGGGGCTGGAGCGCTGGGGGTCCTGGTTTCCCACCCTCGGGAAGCGATCCGTGGGGGAAGAGGTTCGATTTGGGCATTCCGGACCTCGCTGTGCCCTCCTGGCCGTAGCTTCCCCCCTCCAACCCCCCCCACCCCCCCAAAAAAAAATCCATCAGGGGCGTTCGTGTCGTGTCGCAGCAGAGGGGCCGGGTCTGGCGAGCCCGGGCGGGGACGATTTGATCCCAAAAAATCCCAATCCAGCCCCGCGGAGGCCGTGACTCAGCCGTGCCGGGGGCGGGGGGCGGCGGGGGGGGGCAGAGGGGGCTGAGCCTCGCCGAGGGATCCGGGGGGGCCTCCGGCTCGTGCCCCCCGTCCCCAACACCCTCTCCCCGCCATCCGCAGCCTCCGGAGCGGCTCCTCCATCCCGGGAGCGCCGATCGATCCCGCGGGAGCTCCCCGTGCGCATCCCGGGGGGATCCATCGCCCCCGCCTCTCCCTCGGTGGGGACGATCCCCCCCTCCCCTCCCCGCTCCCGCCGACCCCCCCCTCCCCCGGTATCCGCGTGCCGTGTCTGATCCCTCCCTTCCCGGGGCTGCGCCGATGGACTCTCCCAGCGCTCCGTGTGCGCGGCGGAGGCTGCGGCGGTAGCGCTGGTACCCGGGAGCTGCTGTCGCGCCGTGTCGCTGCCGGAGCATCCTCCTCCCTCGCCGTATCCCTCCCCGAGCATCCTTCCTCGCCGGAGCGCCTTCCTCCTCCTCGCCGGCGCCGGGAGGGAGCTGGAGCTGGAGCTGGAGCGGGGCGAGGGCTGAGCCAGGTAAAGGGGGAACAAAATGGATTTATAACCCCACATCCTCCCCTTTCCCCACGGCGTTAATCGGCCTTCACGGTGCCGCTGATGGATTCGGGGTTCGGCTTCTCCTTCCCACTCGCTGTGGCCATTTTGTCCTGGAAAACCTCCCCTGGAGCCCGGGTCTGCCTTTGGATGTGCGTGTTCGGGGGCTCCTGTCAGCCCCCCGTGCCGTCCTGCGGCCGGGGAGCAGCCGGAGGGGGCCGGGAATCCGCCGCAGGGATGGGAGTGTGGGGGGGGGGACACCGGCGGTTTTTTGGGGAGGGGGTGGCACTGGGGGGAGCTGGGGGGTGACCTTGGACACGGGCGATTTAAAACTCTCCCCTTGTCGCCATGTTCCTGGCGTTCCGCAGGGATGCTGGGGGCTGCAGGGGGGGCACACACACACACACAGAGACCCCCAGCGTGGGACCCCCGCAGGGTTTTGGGGGAGCGTGGCTGCATCGCCCCCCGGCTCTGCTCGGATGCGCCGAGCAGGAGGAGCCGGATCCGGGTCCCGTAACCTTGGCCGGGGCTGGCGGTGACGGCTCCGGCCAACGCCAGGACGGGGCCGCAGGGCCAGCGGCTCCTTCTGCCCCCGTGACGGGCATTTTTGGGGGGCACCCCCCCCATCTTCCTCCTTCCCCGGCTCCCGCGTTTCGGGGGGCTGCGGTCTGGGGGGTTTCTGCCTCCCTCGTGGCACCGACCCCTCGCTGTCCTCCGGCTCCGGCTCTGCCGTCGGTTCGGCCGTTCGAGGCTCCCCGGCCCGTGCGGCCGCTCCTCCGTCACGGAGCCCGCGGTGACCTTGCTCCCCGGCCCATCCTCTTCCTCACGGCGCCCTCGGCCTCCCCCTGCTCCCCGATTCCTGCCCCCAGCCCCCCGACAGCTCCCGCTCCGCGCAGCGCCGGCCCCGCATCGGGAGGCTCCGCAGGGAATCGCCAGCCTGGCCGGACAAAAATGACCTTGGCCGTGGATTGGCCCCTTCCAGGGACCTCGGGGGGCCCGCGGGACCCCCAGGGAGGGGAGCGGGGGCTTTCCCCGGAGGGAGCAGAGGAGCAGGGGGGGATTTGCCATTTGATCCTGTGAAATCACCTGCCCGACTCCGCTCGGGAATGGGGGGGCCGGGCCTTGCCGCAGCCCCCCCTCCCCACCCGGGGTTTCCGAAGGGCTAAATTTAGCGTCCCCGCGTGCCCTGTCCCCTCGCTCGGGGAGGGGGGACACGGCGCCGGCTGCGTCCCTCGCCCGCAGCTCCTTCCCCGTGCCCGCAGCTCCTTCCCCGTGCCCGCAGCTCCTTCCCGCCTCGCCGGGGATAAAAATAGCACTGGGGGGGGGGGGGTCACGGTGTCGGGCTGGGGGGCTGCGGGTCCATCCCTGTCACGAGCCGAGCTGGGCTCTGCACGGCCGGGAAGGGAGGGGAGTCGCTGGGCTGGGAAGGGGGACAGAGTAGGAGGACACAGGGAGGTGCCACCCCCAGGTATTTGGGTGCCCCCTCTGCTCCCCCCGGGCTGGACCCTGGGGCACTTGGGGTGCCCCCAGCCCCCCCTCTCCCCGGGGCAGCCTCTGCTGCTCCCACAGTAAATCCTGCCTGGAAGCTTCCGCAGGGAGCGTGGCCCAGCGCACGTGGTGCTGGGTCGGTGCCAGGGACGTGGCCGGGTTGTTGTCACCCAAGGGACCCCCCAGGGGATCCTCTGAGGGACCCCAGTCCCAAACCTGCCTCCTTGAGGCCCCCACCTCGGGCACTGGCAGCGCTGGGATGGTTTGGGGCCCCCCCTGCCCCTGGGGGTTCCTTCAGGCCTGCTGATGGCCGTGGTTTTGGGGTGGCTCACAGTCCCGGGGGGATTTTCTGGGGATAATTGGGGGCAGTGATGCCCCTGATGTCCCCCCAGCTCCCTCTGTCCTTTGGAGTGGGCATGGAAGGGATGGATCCAGGGGTGCTGGGGGGGTCCCAGTGGGCCGTGGGAGCTGGGATTCCCCCAGGTGAGGGGAAGGGGCACCCAAGGGGTGGGGGCTGGCACAGAACCAGCATCCACCAGCCTGTCCCCACCCCAGCTCCTGCTGTGCCCTGTGGTGACCCCCCACTGCAGGGTTGGGGGGGGGGGTCCCCAAATCCTCCTCTTTCCATCTGAGACGGGGAAAAGAGGTGGGATGTGGGGCCATTCCAGCTCTTAACACAGCCCCTGGTTGTGTCTGCCCTCCCCAGGTCCGGGCCGGTGTCCGGGGTCCCCCCACGCCCCCTCCCACGGATGGGTAGGGCCGTCACCCACCTCCCCCCACCCCGGGCCTGAGGTCCCTGGACACAGAGACCCCCCAGCCCAGCCCAGCCCAGCCCAGCCCAGCCCAGCCCAGCCCAACCAGCTCCGCTCCCACCTCGCGCCCGTCCCGCCGGCGCCATGGACGAGTCGTTCCGGGACAGGACCGCGTTCATCCGCGGCGCCAAGGACATCGCCAAGGAGGTGAAGAAACAGGCGGCCAAGAAGGTGAGCCGGGGCATGGACCGCGTGCAGGACGAGTACACCCGGCGCTCCTACTCGCGCTTCGAGGAGGAGGAGGACGACGAGGACTACGCGCCCCAGGACGGCTACTACCGGGGGGGCGAGGGGGCCAACGAGGAGGAGGGGGCGTCCAGCGACGCCACCGAGGGCCACGACGAGGAGGACGAGATCTACGAGGGCGAGTACCAGGGGATCCCCCGGCAAGAGTCGCTGAAGGGGGGGGAGCGCCTGGGGGGGGCCGCCGCGGCCACCGGCGCCTTCGACGACAGCGAGGGGCAGCGGCGGAAGGACCGAGAGGAGCTGGCGCAGCAGTACGAGCTCATCCTGCAGGAGTGCGGCCACGGCCGCTTCCAGTGGACCCTCTACTTCGTCCTGGGCCTGGCCCTGATGGCCGACGGCGTCGAGGTCTTCGTGGTGGGCTTCGTCCTGCCCAGCGCAGAGAAGGACATGTGCCTCTCCGACTCCAACAAGGGCATGCTGGGTGAGCAGGGGCGGGCACGGGGGGGGCGAGTGGGAGTC